GTGGCCTCTGATCTATCTTTCCTACTCCAAGTAAATTGTTTTAGGTTTTTATTTTTGTTTCTCCAAATATCTATTAATTTACATGATTTTATAAGCCCCTTTAAACTTGTAACTGGTTTATCAATTTTTTTGGAAGATTTAGTTTTATTTTTTGTATCTATCAATGACCAGATGTCGTTGAAATCACCCCCAAGAATTGTTTGACCTAATCCATATTTATTTATATAAGATTTAACTGTTTTGAAGAAACTATTTCTTTCTCTTAATTTATTTGGAGCGTAGATGTTTACTAGCGTGTAGATATTTTCATTGATTTCAATATTAATCAGAATAAATCTCCCTTCAGAATCTTTGTGTTCATCAATAATTTTGAAATTAATTCTATCTTTTATCCATATTGCTACCCCGCGTGAATTACTTGTACCATCACTTCTGAAAAGATTCTCGCCAAATTCTTTATTCAATGTATTTTGCATTAAATTGATAAAATGAGTTTCTTGAATGAATATTACATCACATTTTTGCTGATTTGCCCAACTTACTATTTTATTTATTTTTTCAGGTTGCTGTAGGCCATTAGCATTGACCGTGCATATATGCAGATAATTTCTCATGGTGGTTTATAGTTGGATATTTTAAATTTCATACATGGTGAGTAACATTTTTTTACATTAATAATGACACATTCTATATATTTGTTCTTTGATATTATTTTTTTATTACTTTTGACTGCCTTAAAACTAAATTCGTTTAGTCCTGCTTCTTCACAAGAATAATTTAGAAGACTGTTTATATACTGATGAAACGTTTGTTTCACCTTAGTATTGACATTATACGCTTCACTGATTTCTATTAACTTTTCGAATCGTTGGTATTTAAATTTTGAATTTACATCAATCACGTCAATAACTAAGATTGTTATCACCAGTAATACCGCTTTGTTCACGTTATTCTCTATTTTTATCCTTTGTGTATTCCTGGTTGATATTTTAAGCAGTTCATTTTCCCGTGTTTTAACGTATTTAACATGTATTATTTTATCGATCTTCTCTAGCATTAGTTTTGATAACCTATGATCATGCTGATTATTTTTATCACTTTTATGGTGTTTATTTTGTATAAAAAATAGACTTCCGTGTTCCAGGTACACTCGATCTCTAGTTTCAATTTCGTTCGCTCTATATCTTGACCTCATCGTATTAATAGACTTTTTGGTCAAGGTTTTTTCGGAAGACTTTTTAAATAGGATTAATTGTTTTTCCATTTCAGGATATTTTTTATCAAATGATAAAGACATTAATTTGATTGTATTGTAACTTAACCTACATATTCTCAACCACGTGCCTGTGTTCATAAACATAAGCACATGTTGACTCAATTTATGTTTACGTGTTAGTTTGTTATTTACACGTGCACGACGCTTTATGTTTGGCTGTAAAGGTGTATACAACCACACACTTAATACAGTAAAATACAATATATACCATAAAAACATTTTGTATTATATAATGTCTATATTACTGTTGTTAAATTTGTTTTCAACTTTTATTTTATTTAGCATGTTTAACTTAGCGCTATGGTTTACATCTTCTATAAAGATAATTGTAATAGCAAGGTATAGCTTTATACATATTTTAGACATCAGTGTTATTAAACAAATAACTACCTTTACACAACTTACTATGTTTTTAACTAGACTCTCAGAATAAAAGTTCTTTGCTATATTATTACATACATGTACATTAATGTACTTTGATTCATACATATTTTGGTTATTCCTATATACGAATTGCTTAATTTTTTTATTTGTTTTTTTCTTTTTCAGGATAAAAATTTCATGAAGAATAGGCTGTTTATGATCTTCATTAGTGATATGGATTTGACTCTCTATCATTCTGCAAAGTTTAAGTGGACAACCTTCAACAGTTATGTCACACAAGCATACTAAGACATATTTCAAATAAAATATACAGTTAAAAATAAATGAAGACAGTGCTATACATACAGTTTTGTGAAGAATATGGTTTTTACAATGCATATTTTTAGATTTTTTTTTAATAATTTATAATAAAAGAATTCTAGTCTTAGATTTTGTAATTCATTTAACAAATATCAAATTAGCGCTTCTTTTTCGGCTTCTTTGCAGCCTCATCTCTTGTTGCATCATGTAAATTCTCTGTTGGAGTAACTGGAGATTTTTCAATGTTTTGTGTCCTGGTTTTTGACTGTTTTGGTGTGCTATTTGTTGTATTGCTTTGTTCATGACTAGGTTTTGTTGTCAGATACTTTGAGATACCCGGTCTCCTGTCAACACTTCCTATGTTTTTTGGTTTTTGGTTTTGTTGTTGTGAACTGTCTTTTCCGTAAGACCTTCTCTCCTGAGTACCGAGGATCAATTGCGAATGTTCCCTGTCACTATCTGACCTACTTCTATCCTCGGTATTCACGAGAGGTTTTGTCCTGCGCTGGGAATAGACTTCACTTTCTTGGAATGACTTATCACTATTATCGGTACAGTCTTTGTTGTGTTCATCATTCTCACTTGCATTGGGTACATCTTGATTGCCGACATCATCCATGTTTGTCATATATGTATCATCTTCATCATATTCACCATCCGAATGCTCATTGCACTCATATTGCTTGTGGCCTAGTTGACCACATTTTCTACACTTCCATCCATTCGGACAAGTGTTTGCTGAATGTCTTTCTTCGAAGCACTTGCTACACTTCATATTTGGTCTGTTTGTGAACGATTGGCCAAAGTGGTTGATTGTTGCCCAATATTTGCCTATCTGCAATGACTTTGGCAGCGGGGGATTAAACGGTTTGCATATTACAATCCGATCGCCTGTTCTTCAATTTGTAAGGAGATTATCAATTCTTAATCTTTCCCTGAAATGAGTAATTACCTCACACTTGCTAGCTGTAGTTTCAAGAGTTCTAATTATCTGATCGTCATCTGCGGATAGAGGCACATTTTTGACTCGTACCTTCATTGTATCTTGTTCTTCATCCATTGTTATTTTTGGGTTTCTAGAGTACAGGGCTATAGATTTTGTTCTTATGGTTATCCCCAAGGACAGTAGATCTTTTTTGTCATATTCATTGTCGAAATATATTCGCCAGACGCCTCGAACTCTCTGTAGTCCAATTAAAGCTCTTACTGGCACCTGCTCGTTTATTGCCTTATAGACCTCTGTGTTTGTAAGAAAAAGTCGTTGGCCTTTATAATTTACAGCATTATCACCAAAGACGTCTGCTTCAAGGAGAAATATTGGTTTGACATTACCAATCTTGCCTAATATCTCTGGTGTCCGAACAAGAACATAGGAACAAGTCTGTATCATATTTTTTTCGTCTAGTGACGTTAACCAACTATTACCTTTTGCATTTCATTTATATGTTTTTATAAATAATAATATTGTACATACTTTTCACCAGTTTTGATTTTATACAGTCTGTCAACTTTATCAATTTATCAAAATTGAACGAACTAAGCGGCCCCCATAAAAGCATTAGGGGTTCAACACGGATATGGAATGGATTTAGATCAAATTTGGTGAGAAAAAAATAAATAATTATAAAGTTGTAGAGAGGCTTGGAAATTAAGAGATCACATATGTACGGGAAAAGTTTTAATTATCAAATCATTTATACTGTCTTGATTGGATACGAAATTGAAATAACAGGTACTCTAGATATATACGAAATTGAAATAACAAGTATTCTAGATATATACGAAAAACAAATCAATAATATTATTTGGCCCTTTATAAGGGACGGAAAAACAAACTAAATCTCAAGAATATTGTGTTATTCACCGAACAAAAAAGTAGGTTGTGGATGATAAACTTAAGGCACTTAAATTAGCCGTGTCTTAACCTATCATAAATCTGGTGCAAATTGAAGGAAATGTTATGGAAAGGACAGACTATGGCTTACCAATATATGAATCAGGTGATGTGATATGATTGCCAAACAGATTAAAACGATAAAACCCAACGGCATGATAATAAACATTACTAGTAGAACTTTCCAATAACACTTGAGATCGACTAATGACACCTACAGTTAACAGCAGAAATGGAGGGTTGGTATCAAAGAAAACATTCAATTACGCATAACATTTCAAATAATACTTAATATTCGATTTCGCCGAAGTAGACTAATTGAAAAGAATATATTTGCGGACTTTTCCTTATTTCTCTCTCTTACACACATGTGGATACTGTATGGCTTGTATCTCATCCGATCTTTACAACACATAATGAACACATTGAATATAGTTATATACCGCCCTTGTAATTAGATGTTAACAATTGTTTGATTAAACATTCAATACTAAAATACGGGTTATATTTCATCTTCCCAATGTCTGCATTAGAGCTAACTATATAGTAGCCCAACGTCTAAAAAGATGAGCGAAATAATGAAGAGCCTTCCGGTCATTTCTTCATTCTCAATTAAAAAATATATGTGAACTTTAATTAAAAAATGATTAACATCCACAGGAAGACCATTATTGTTGTGGTAAGTATAACAGACATACAGGTTACCTATAATTGCTTACATCCACTTTATTTGAACTTTGGTGGTTAGTTGTCTCATTGGCAATCATATTCTTATTTTAATATACAGGAAAACTACTAATAATATTCATAAACGATAATTACTATTATTGAGACGAACACTTACATTTTACACTCTTTACCTGTTGGTGTCGTTGGCAACTGTGGGTATAGACAGTTGTTGAAATGGTATAGTATGATGTAATCTATACGATTCCGTCGTCAAACATAAACAACAGCTAATTGTGGGCTTGACGTATGCTTCAGACGGAAAAAATAATTACAAAAAAGATATTTGTCAGGTGAAATATCTGGCTATTATGTTTATCAACGACGTAATCACATACAATATAAACGGTGGAATTAATTCCCTCCAAATATTTCGTTTTCCTATTGAAATCGTGATTATAAATCAATTGCCGTACTTACCTCGTGCTCCTTTATTTCCGGTCATACCGACATAACCTATACAAATGCAAACGAGAAAAAACTCCCATTATACGTAATCATATTTTATCTATTTATGTATACATCACATCATATGTAATCATTTGAAAAAGTATTCATTGTATCTGTATTTTTTTTCTCATTAGAGTTAAAATTGAAAACGGAAATGGGGAATGTGTCAGAGAGACAAGAACCCGACAAAAGAGCAGAAAACAGCCTAAGGCCAGTAATGGGTCTTCAACACAGCGAGAAAATCCAGCACCCGGAGGTGTGCTTCAGCTGGCCTCTTAACAAAAATGTGTAATAGTTCAGTGAAAATGGACGTCACACTAAACTCCGAAACATATAAATGAACTAAAATTGAAAAAAAAACATACAAGACTAATAAAGGCCAGAGGCTCCCGACTTTGGACAGGTGCAAAAATGCGGCGGGGTTAAACATGTTTTGTGAGATCTCAACCCTCCCCTTATACCTCTAGCCAATATAGAATAAACAAACACACAACAATACGCACAATAAAACTCATTTTAAAAGAAGTCCGAGGCAAATGTCAGAATAGATAACAGAAGAAACTAAGCAAAATGACAATGATACATAAATTAATAAAAGGACTACTAGTAGTGACTGACATTTAAACCCGCTGCATTTGTTTGCACCTGTCCTAAGTCAGGAATCTGATGTTCTGTAGTTGTCGTTTGTTGTTGTGGTTCATAAGTGTTTCTCGTTTCTCGTTTTTTATATAAATTAGACCGTTGGTTTTCCCGTTTGAATGGTTTTACACTAGTAATTTTTGGAGCCCTTTATAGCTACTGTTCGGTGTGAGCCAAGGCTCCGTGTTGAAGACCGTACTGTGACCTATAATGGTTTACTTTTATAAATTTTGACTTGGATGGAGAGTTGTCTCATTGGCACTCATACCACGTCTTCTTATATCTATATTAAGCAATTTGGATTTTAGTATCACTTCATTTCGATCCTTTGTTATACTAATTTCTATTACATTCCGGTCGAATGATATATTGCCACGTGCCATTCGTAAACAATTATTTGAGGTCAAAGTTGACCTTAGTTGGATTTGGCTATTTGTGTATGTCCTTTCTGATCATATAGCTCTTCAACTGTTTCGGTTCTTATACATCCTTGGCTTTCATATATTCGGCTTTGAGCGTTCCTGATGAAGGTAAATCCAGAAAAGCGCTTCGGACGCATGAAATTTATAACATGTTGTTTTCAATTTCTTATTTTTATTTTTTTCAAAAAGGAGTTATTTCAAAAGTATGGTGAGTAAATATTTGCTTTTAATACCTACCTATTGATATCATTTATCTTTTTTTTAGAAATATCCAATAGACATAGTTTATAAACACAACTGAACAGGCACAGTACATACGGAGTGTTGATTACAATTTGAATGATTACACAATATTAAGATGATCATTTTACTAACTCGACCAGGCACAAAGAATAAAGAATTTGTAACAGGCATCAACATGACTAAAATTCAGAACAGATTTCTAACGACTGAAAACCAAAGGCATGATTAATGTTTAATAAATAAACATAAAACAAAGATGACACAATTAAGCAAACCCCACCCACTGAATTGCAGACCCTTAATGACTTGGGACAGGCACATACCGAATATGTGACGAGGTTGAATATGTTTGTAAGTGCCCAACCTCCCAAAGTCTTGGAATGTGTTGAAACAGCGCAACATATTGAACATTGTTCTCGTCTTTTGAACATTACTAGTAGACCTTTTACTATATAACACTTGACATCGACTTATGACATCTACAATTAACAGCAGAAATGGGGGGGGGGGGGGGGGGGGGGTGGGGAGGGGGGGGGGGGTGTAGGGTGGGGGGGGGGAGTGTTGGTTGGTATCAAAGAAAATTCATTTACGCATAAACTTTCAAATACATACTTAGTATTCGAATTCACCGAAGTAGATTAATTTGAAGAAAAAAAATCTCTTTGCCGACTTTCTTTCTTTCTCTCTCTAAAACATATTTCGACCCTGTATAGCTTGTATCTCATCCGATCCTCACAACACATAATGAACACATTGCATATAGTTATATACCGCCCATGTAATTAGATGTTAACAATTGTTTGATTAAACATTCAAAGCTAAAATACGGGTTATATTTCATCTTCCCAATGTCTGCAATGAAGCTAACTATATAGTAGCTCAACGTCTAAAAAGATGAGCGAAGTAATGAAGAGCCTTCCGGTCATTTCTTTATTTTCAATTAAAAAATGAATGTGAACTTTAACTAAAAATGATTACCATCCACAGGAAGAACATTGTTGTTGTTGTAAGTATAACAGACATACAGGAAAGTATTTTTTGCCCGGTAAACTACTGTTGTTATGCGTTTACTTTTCTACATTGGCTAGAGGTATAGGGGGAGGGTTGAGATCTCATAAACATGTTTAACCCCGCCGCATTTTTGCGCCTGTCCCAAGTCAGGAGCCTCTAGCCTTTGTCGGTCTTGTATTATTTTTAATTTTAGTTTCTTGAGTACAATTTGGAGTTTAGTATGGCGTTCATTATCACTGAACTAGTATATATATTTGTTTAGGGGCCAGCTGAAGGACGCCTCCGGGTGCGGGAATTTCTTGCTGCATTGAAGACCTGTTGGTGACCTTCTGCTGTTGTCTGTTCTATGGTCGGGTTGTTGTCTCTTTGACACATTCCCCATTTCCATTCTCAATTTTAATGATATTCATAAACGATAATAACTATCATTGAGACGACCTCTTTTATTTTACACTCTTTACCTGTTGGTGTCATTGTCAACTGTAGGTTTAGACAGTTGTGGAAATGGTATAGTATGATGTCATCGATACGATTCCGGCGTCAGACATATACAACAGCTAATGTTGGCTTTACGTATGGTTCAGAACGAGAAAAGAAATTGCAAAAAAGATATTTGTCAGGTGAAACATATGTTCATTTTTTTATAAACGACGTAATCACATACCATATAAAACCGTAGAATTAATCCCCTCAAAATATATAACGTTATCCGTTCGAAAACGTGACTATATATCAATTGCCGTACGTACCTGGTTCTCCCTGCCACCCCGTTTCACCTTTACACATTGGATCTGGACAAACTCCATCTAGAATGGGAAAAAAATACATGGTTATTGTTGATAATAAATAAACTCATCATAGATACTAGGATTTAAATTTTGTACCTACGCCAGACGCGCGTTTCGTCTACAAAAGACTCATCAGTGACGCTCGAATCTAATAAAGTTTTAAAGGCCAAATAAAGTACGAAGTTGAAGAGCATTGAGGACCAAAATTCTTAAAAGCTTTGCCAAATACAGCCAAGGCAATCTATTCCTGAGGTAGAAAAGCCTTAGTATTTCAAAAATTCAAAGTTTTGCAAACAGTTAATTTATAAATATTACCATATCAATGATAATTCATGTCAGCACAGAAGTGCTGACTACTGGGCTGTTGATATCCTCGGGGAATAAAAACTCCACCAGCAGTGGCATCGACCCAGTGGTTGTAAATAAACTCATCATAGATACCAGGATTTAAATTTCGTACCTACGCCAGACGCGCGTTTCGTCTACAAAAGACTCATCAGTGACGCTCGAATCCAAAAAAGTTTCCAAGGCCAAATAAAGTATGAAGTTGAAGAGCATTGAGGACCAAAATTCCTAAAAGCTTTGCCAAATACAGCCAAGGCAATCTATTCCTGAGGTAGAAAAGCCTTAGTATTTCATAAATTCAAAGTTTATATATATTCAAAGATAAATAATTGTATACCTCATCCACATTTTAACCAAAAGCCACCCGTTGTGTTCACAAAGCTTAGAAACTTGCATGATTAAAATTACATATTATCAAAGAAATTTCGGGTTTCCAACACATGTTTATGTCAGACAACAAATACTCAAGAAAATAGTAATTTTATAAAATTATATAGACTTTATTAAGTTTTTATGATTATATTGCACTTACATTATTTAAATCTATGATGGAAATCAAAAAAGAAAATAATGATCTTTTTAGACTCCGAGAACTTGAAAATAGTATTGTTATATTAAGGATTTTGTTTAAACAGTTTAAAATTAACTATTCATATAAAATTGAGAATGGAAACGGGGAATGTGTCAAAGAGACAACAATCCCAAGGCAACCAATGGGTTTTCAACACACCGAGAAAATCCTGCACCCGGAGGCGGGCCTAAGTTGGCCCCTAAACAAAAATGTGTACTAGTTCAGCGAAAAAGTACGTTACACTAAACTCCGAAACATATTAATGAACCAAAATTAAAAAAATATACAAGACTCATGACTTGGGACAAGCCCATAAATGCGGCGGGGTTAATAGATATAAGAAGATGTGGTATGAGTGCCAATGAGACAACTCTCCATCCAAATCAAAATTTATAAAAGTAAACCATTATAGGTCACACAAACATAAACATGTTTTGTGAGATCTCAACACTCCCCTATAACTCTAGCCAAGGTCGAATAAACAAACACACAGCAATACGCACAGTAAAACTCAGTTTAAAAGAAGTCCAAGTCCGATGTTAGGTAACAGAAAAAACTAAGCAAAATGACAATGATACATAAATTAACAAAGGACTACTAGCAGTTACTGACATGCTAGCTCCAGACCTCAATTTAAGTGGTAGAAAGAGTATGTCTCCATCATCATGATCATATGAAAATCAAGCACAATCCCTCTCTTTAGGGGTTTAGTATCATACCATCATAAAGTATATGAGAAAAACATAACCCGTAACATGCCAATAACTGTTTTTAGAATTAATGTGTTTATTTTCGATGCAAAGACCCTGAGTGAATCCATATTAATTCCAAAAAATGCAATCTTTAATGATCTGACAACAGTATCGTAACTATATCTCTTCTGAATAAGTCTGTTTAAAGGTTTGGTTAGCTTTTGAGGTGCATGACGACATTTTTGTGCTTTGTATAGAATATTACCATAAAAGATTGGATGTTAAATACCTGAACGTATAAGATGTCTGCATGTTAATTTATATTTACGAATGATGTCCTTGTACCGATAAAATTTAGTAAATGTTTTGAAAAGTTTGTGATATCGAAAACCCTGGTGTAATAGTTTTTCCGTAATATAGATATTTCTTTCGTTAAAATCAATTACGTTGTTACATACACGAGCGAATCGAACAAGTTGAGATATATGAACACTATAAGATGGTGACAAGGGAACGTCACCATCTAAAAATGGATAATTAACAATAGGAAATGAAAAATCATCTCTTTTATCGTAAATATTGGTAGTAAGCTTCCCGTTAAAGATATAGATATCAAGATCCAGAAATTGGCAGTGTTCATTGTTAGTATTAGCTTTATTTAAAGTCAGTTCAGCAGCATAAATCTCTTCAGTGTACATCATTAGTGAGAGCCAAAATATCATCCAAATATCTAAAAGTGTTATTTAATTTTTGTATCAGATGTTGTTTTGATGGGTCTTTGCTGATTTTAGTTATAAATTGTAACTTATAACAATACAGAAAAAAGGTCGGCAATAAGTGGCGCACAGTAACTCCCCATTGGAATTCCGTTATCTTGACGATATACGGAAATTCCATAGCGAAATAAATGTTATCAGGTAAAAATTCAAGTGCAGTTATCGATTCAAAGTAGGTCCAATTGACATACATGTAGTTAATACACACATATATATATATGTTGGAAAATGTTGTTTGTGTGGTATTTAGACCCCTCTACCAAGCAATTTGTTTTGCATGCACACGTATAAAAATTGCGGTTTTTATACAACGCAATCATAGGTTTGAACGTTGTTTTCAATTTAGACTTGTTTATATTTTTTCGTTTGGGCTTGTATTATATTTGCCTTCGGGTTTATATGATCCGTTCATCCTATTTTGACTCTTTCAAAATTCAAGAGTCTATCCTAAATTGAGGTAAATTATATGGCCTTCCAAATACCGTTTCGATTCCTAACATCACTGAAGAGACATTAATTGTCGAAATCCGGATATGGTGTACAAATTTTTGCACCTCATTTTTGCGGTATACCATCTTTTCCGCAAGTTTATTGTTTTCTGTTTGGTAATAATTTAATAATAAGATCTGATTTGTTACATCTTGTGATCCGTTTATTTGTCAATCGTCAATGGCAGTCAGCAGGGTTTAAGAACATCAGTTGTTCGACCTGCTAGTCAAATGCGTTTTGTTAAAATATACTTTTTCACTCATTTGGTCTTTTGGAAAATGTTGTTTGTGCTGTATTTAGACCCCTTTACCAAGAAATTTGTTTTGCATGCACACGTATAAAAATTGAGGTTTTTATTCAACGCAATCATAGATTTGAACGTTGTTTTCAATTTAGACTTGTTTATATTTTTTCGTTTGGGCTTGTATTATATTTGCCTTCGGGTTTATATGATCCGTTCATCCTATTTTGACTCTTTCAAAATTCAAGAGTCTATCCTAAATTGAGGTAAATTATATGGTCTTCCAAATACCGTTTCGATTCCTAACATCACTGAAGAGACATTAATTGTCGAAATCCGGATATGGTGTACAAATTTTTGCACCTCATTTTTGCGGTATACCATCTTTTCCGCAAGTTTATTGTTTTCTGTTTGGTAATAATTTAATAATAAGATCTGATTTGTTACATCTTGTGATCCGTTTATTTGTCAATCGTCAATGGCAGTCAGCAGGGTTTAAGAACATCAGTTGTTCGACCTGCTAGTCAAATGCGTTTTGTTAAAATATACTTTTTCACTCATTTGGTCTTTTGGAAAATGTTGTTTGTGCTGTATTTAGACCCCTTTACCAAGAAATTTGTTTTGCATGCACACGTATAAAAATTGAGGTTTTTATTCAACGCAATCATAGATTTGAACGTTGTTTTCAATTTAGACTTGTTTATATTTTTTCGTTTGGGCTTGTATTATATTTGCCTTCGGGTTTATATGATCAGTTCATCCTATTTTGACTCTTTCAAAATTCAAGAGTCTATCCTAAATTGAGGTAAATTATATGGCCTTCCAAATACCGTTTCGATTCCTAACATCACTGAAGAGACATTAATTGTCGAAATCCGGATATGGTGTACAAATTTTTGCACCTCATGTTTGCGGTATACCATCTTTTCCGCAAGTTTATTGTTTTCTGTTTGGTAATAATTAAATAATAAGATCTGTTTTGTTACATCTTGTGATCCGTTTATTTGGCAATCGCCAATGGCAGTCAGCAGGGTTTAAGAACATCATATGTTCGACCTGCTAGTCAAATGCGTTTTGTTGAAATATACTTTTTCACTCATTTGGTCTTTTGGAAAATGTTGTTTGTGCTGTATTTAGACCCCTCTACCAAGCAATTTGTTTTGCATGCACACATATAAAAATTGCGGTTTTTATCCAACGCAATCATAGGTTTGAACGTTATTTTCAATTTAGACTTGTTTATATTTTTTCGTTTGGGCTTGTATTATATTTGCCTTCGGGTTTATATGATCCGTTCATCCTATTTTGACTCTTTCAAAATTCAAGAGTCTATCCTAAACTGAGGTAAATTATATGGCCTTCCAAATACCGTTTCGATTCCTAACATCACTGAAGAGACATTAATTGTCGAAATCCGGATATGGTGTACAAATTTTTGCACCTCATGTTTGCGGTATACCATCTTTTCCGCAAGTTTATTGTTTTCTGTTTGGTAATAATTAAATAATAAGATCTGTTTTGTTACATCTTGTGATCCGTTTATTTGGCAATCGCCAATGGCAGTCAGCAGGGTTTAAGAACATCATATGTTCGACCTGCTAGTCAAATGCGTTTTGTTGAAATATACTTTTTCACTCATTTGGTCTTTTGGAAAATGTTGTTTGTGCTGTATTTAGACCCCTCTACCAAGCAATTTGTTTTGCATGCACACGTATAAAAATTGCGGTTTTTATCCAACGCAATCATAGGTTTGAACGTTATTTTCAATTTAGACTTGTTTATATTTTTTCGTTTGGGCTTGTATTATATTTGCCTTCGGGTTTATATGATCCGTTCATCCTATTTTGACTCTTTCAAAATTCAAGAGTCTATCCTAAACTGAGGTAAATAAAATGGTCTTCCAAATACCGTTTCGATTCCTAACATCACTGAAGAGACATTAATCGTCGAAATCCGGATATGGTGTACAAATTTTTGCACCTCATGTTTGCGGTATACCATCTTTTCCGCAAGTTTATTGTTTTCTGTTTGGTAATAATTCAATAATAAGATCTGTTTTGTTACATCTTGTGATCCGTTTATTTGGCAATCGCCAATGGAAGTCAGCAGGGTTTAAGAACATCAGTTGTTCGACCTGCTAGTCAAATGCGTTTTGTAAAAATATACTTTTTCACTCATTTGGTCTTTTGGAAAATGTTGTTTGTGCTGTATTTAGACCCCTCTACCAAGAAATTTGTTTTGCATGCACACGTATAAAAATTACGGTTTTTATCCAACGCAATCATAGGTTTGAACGTTGTTTTCAATTTAGACTTGTTTATATGTTTGTATATATATATATATAGTATATCTTAAATTCAGATTATTTAAAATACAGTGAATGTCATGCTAGTAGAGTATAAGCAAGAAGAGCTGAAAGAAATTAAACTCTTCCATACATTTAAGAATTGTGTTGCAAAATAATTAGCAAAATAATAGTCAATAAACATTATACAATTATAGTGCATAACAAGATTTTGTAAGGTTGACGAAATTGACCATAAAACGATCGTATTAAATTTTGATGTCCAAAACTATGCAGATCGGACATATTTTGTCATTATTTACTGCCTAATTTTGTTTAGGTTTAATTGTAATTATAATATTATTATGAGAATGAAAAATGTTATTTTTTGTTAAGATAAACAATAACTTACCCTGGCGTAACCGTGCGTAAAATGTATTTCGGCATTTGTCTTCGAAAAATGACTTAAGGGAATAAAAGATATGATTTGTAAATTTTCTCTATTTTTCACGAGAATAGGCTATTAAAAATGATTTATCTACTCTATATATTGAAAATTTGTGAAAAAATTATAAATGGTAATTCTTACCTTTCATACCTTTAGTTTCATTGATGAAAAATGATACGGACTTGTCCAGTGTCCAGTTTGAAGGTCATTTAGTTACTGTACACGTGTGTGTACATGAAAAAAGAAAAGCCTTTATAATTTAGTTTTAAGTAAAAACTAATTCTTAAAATACATTTTGTTATAAATTTTTAGCTTAATAGATTAAAAAAATAAATAAATAAGGCACCGACTGTTCATCTTTACTGTACCATTCATGCACGTTCTGATTTAATCAATATACAAGTATGAAAAATTTAAACAGTTTAAGAGTAAACTAATAATAACTTTATCAAATCAATGACCGGTCCACGTCTTAATAAGTAATAGGGTTAGATTAGGTAGGAGAAAATGACAAATATTTTAAGTTCATTTTTTGTAATAATTAATAAAATTTGTCAACAAAAAGTTTTTTATATATTTTTCAAAAACATGTCGTTCTGTATTGGTATAGTTTTCGGATTGTTTATTTGCGTATTTAAGGCAACAGAAAGCTTGGGCTTAAAAAGTCTACATAATTATTGACTTTATACAGAAAATTCGCCCTTTTAAAACATTTATTGTTTCATAAATAATACGTGGTTACAAAGTAAAATCATTTCTAAGGACACTGCCAAAAAATAATTCTGATTGGTATAGTGGTATTGCCATAAAGTGCCTTGAAATGAACCGTGGTATAGCAGACATCGAATTCCCTCACAAAATGTTATCATGATTATGGTTTGTAATCAAGAATCGGGCAAATGGTAACGTTTATAGTTTTTGGAAATTAATAACTTGTTATGCTCTTTACAAATTAAGAGAATTGGTCTCAAATTTACAGAATAATTCATTATTCTTGAAAATTGTAAAATTTAGTAAGTCGTTCAGACTCCTTCAAAAATAAAAATAAGAGAAATAGATATTTTTTGTTGTATATTTTTATACTAAATTACCATTACTATTTTTGAAACTATTTGTTTATACCTGGACTTATAAGATATAATCTGAATAGGCAATATTGGTATATTACCTTTTATTTAGATGAGATTATTGATTGAGACAGAATGATAATTTGGAATGTAAAGAATGAGAGTCATTTTAGTATTGAAGGCTCAGGAAGATGAAACTATTTACCCAATCAGTTTGGAGGGTATTATTTATCCATCCCATATCCCAAGAACAAACTTTAAATTATGGTGGGCACAGGTATCCGCCAAAGTATTTATAGCAAGGTATAGCCAGGTCATAGCCTTGATTATAGTTAGGATTATGACCTCTTTTAATTGAAATGACTCGTTGCACCACGGGAAATAAGTGTTATATGTTACATCTTTTGAGCCTCAGGCTCCATTCCTAGAATGACTCCCATCCTTCACATTTCAAGTTATGCTTTGATGAGAGTCCATCATTATTTAACTAGAGGTCGTGAATGAGTTGTGTGCTTCTTAATGAAGTTTATTATTCCAAAGGGAAAGCTTTGGCCAAATACAGTAGTGGACCCTTTTACGCAAACATTAATACAGTGTGAACAATAGAGATATTATACATTTTAGAAGAGCGAGCCTGATGAAGGCATAATAAAAGAAATAAAAACGAAATAAAATGTTTGAAGATAAAGATGCATAAAAGAAAAGCATTCAACCTTTCATAGTATAGAATAGTTCAAGTTAAACAAAATTTAAGTGGTCCCAAAAAAGAAATCAATAATTAAAAGATTGAAGCAAATTCTTATCTAATTTAGTTTTCTTCCAATTATGCAAAACTTGTATCCGTTTTCCTCTTATGGTTGATGTGTTTAACTCGGTTTTAGTTTGTAACCCGGATTTTTTATCTCATGACAATCGATTTATGACTTTTGAACAGCGGTATACTACTGTTGCCTTTATGTATCGTGGCATATGTATCATACATTTTTAAGATTGATTCTTGTATACAAATTCGTTGTACTCACATGTGATGTGTGTAGTCAAAATACTTATGAGCAGCATTTTCCAATACAGATGCAGCAAAGCGATTCTCATAATGTACAATATCTATAATAATAGAAATTTTTCATAATTAATTCATAATTTATAGATTTTCAGGTATTTAAAAAAAATTATAACATAATCGATTGCACCGCTTAGCAATGGTCTACTAATAAAAATTAAAGAGTACATAAAAGGCACATCACATAACCTCGTGAAAGGTAAAATAACAAAAATACCGAACTCCAAGTGAAATGCAAAATGGAAAGTCCTTTTTAAATGGCAAAATCAAAAGCTCAATCGCATCAAACGTATGGAAAACAACTGCATGTTACTTGGTGCAGGACTGTTCTCTCCTTTACGGTTAGTTATTATCACAAATAATTAATTAATGTGTTTAAGTTTTCTCTGTCTATTGTATTAATAGATATATAGCTTGATACAGATTTTAGATTGTTAATAATGTTAGATTTTAAAGATTCAAAATATCTGTAGATAACATTTTTATCCAGTCATATTTTTTGTTCCATATTTTCCATCAGGACCATTTCGTGAAAATTAAAAAAAGAGATTTACGAGTAAATTTTGGTTCGATTGACCACTGTTATCTCCCAACCGCATACAGTGTTCTAGATTTTCATAATCTAATTGAACATTCCATTATATCAAAATATCTTTGATATTACTGATGATTATTTTGGTTGTTCTGTAATAGAAAAATAAATGTTGCAAATTTCCAGTATTATTTACCATCATGCAAAGATGACATTTTCCGTTTGACAATCTCATTTTTTGAAGCCTACTTTCTATATATATAATATTGTGAATGCATTTCCATTAGAATTGTTTTATTTCAATGCCAATGTTAGTTTTTTGATAGGTTAAAATCGTGCTTAAAACTTTCTTGCCATTTATTTTGACATTTAGGAACTATATCTTTATTAATCATGTCTCGAATATGTTTGAGATTCAATTCTTTAGTTTTGATATTTTTTTTGTATGAACATTTCATCAGAAAGTTTCAATTCTATGTTTGTATTTCATATTAATATTTCTACCAGTTTTTAAAACTGCAACTATTAAATCATAAAAATTAACACATAAGTACATCTGTCTATGTTTTTGGGTTATCGCCAGTCTTTAAAGAGCAAGACCATGTATAGATTACATAAAAAATATTGATCGTTATACTTGTTACCAAATTGACGAAGCCAACGCTTGCCAATCGCATTCCAGCTTTCTAACGGTTCATAAACTATGCGATAAAGAGACTTTATTTGTTAACTTCTAATGAATAAATCGATACTAATCAAATCATTTCCATTCCACCCTTTGTTACCTGAAGACAGCGAACCCGTCTTTCTATTTGGTTAACTTTCCCATTCCATATTAAATTCCAAATAATATTGTATATTTCTTTTGAATATTTTTTAAGAATTCCCCGCATTTATTTCATGAGAGCACATAGTCAATATGTAATTTTTTACTATTAAAGTTTTACCACAAAATGAAAGTTTCCTGCTTTTCCACACGTGGACACAGTTTTTTGTTAATCTTTTCTATAATGCTTGCCATATAGCATCATTATCAATATCATAACCGTGATTTACTCCGAGGGTTTTTACATTACCTGTTATCCATTTTATATTGTTAAATTTTAGCTTTTCCCTTTGAAGAGATCTGATAAGTAAACCTTTTGTTTTGTCGTAATTTATTTTAGATCCTGAAGCTTTTTCAAAAAGTAATAGGACATCAACAGATTTTTGTTCTGATTTCTCATTTTTATTAGCAAGTTATGTGTCATCAGCAAACATGCATAATTTAGTTTCAATACTTTTACACCCCTCACCAGGTATCTGAATCCCTTCAATTTCCTTGTTACTTCGTATGGCACATCCATTGGTTCTGCTTGCAAAATGTATATAAGGGGCGCTATTGGACAGTCCTGTTTAAGCAAATTATCAAAAATATTGTTTAAAATGTCCATTAGTTTTGATGCAAGTTACAGCACCATAAAGTAACATTTTAATTCATTGTAAATTTTCCCCAAATTTGCCTTTTCTAAGACAAAATCTACCCAATCCCATTCAAAACTACCTATTTCCAGGGAATTAAAAAAGTAAGTATACCCTATTTTTATAAAAATTAAAGTGTAAAATCACAATAGAGCTTTCTTACATTTTAACGAAAGGTACGAAAAAAGGTAAAAGGAGCATGTATTAATTCCCACAATAAGAAAGAGAGTCTATGTTTTATCCGGAAAAACGGCAATCTTTTCTGAAATAAATGTATCTTTAAAAATTTAAGCATATCGCAAATAAAACACGCATTTTATTTTGAAAATAAAGAATAAAATTGAGAATGGAAATCGGGAATATTTGAAAGAGACAACAACCCGACCAAAGAGCAGACAACAGCAGAAGGCCACTAATTGGTTTTTTTTAACGCAGCGAGAAAATCCCGCACTCGGAGGTGGTCCTCAGCTGGCCCCTAAATAAAATTGTGTACTAGTTCAGTCAAAATGGACGTCACACTAAACTCCAAAACATATAAATGAACTAAAAATAAAAAACATACAGGACTAACAAAGGCCAGAGGCTCCTGTCTTGGGACAGGCGCAAAAATGCGAGGAGTTAAACATGTTTTGTGAGATCTCAACCCTCCCCCTATACCTCTAGATGACATTTATGTAGAATAAAGAAACACATAGTAATACGCATAGTAAAACTCAGTTTAAAAGAAGTCCGAGTCCGATGTTAGAATAGGTAACAAAAGAAACCAAGCAAAATGACAATGATACATAAATGAACAAAGGACTACTAGCAGTTACTGACATGCCAGCTCCAGACCTCAATTCAACTGATTGAAAGATAATGTCTTCATCATATGAAAATCAAGTACAATCCCTCCCGTTAGGGGTTAAGTATCATACCATCATAACATATATGAGAAGAACATAACCCGTATCATGCCAACAACTGGTTTTAGAATAAATGTGTTTATTTCCGATGCAAAGACCCTATGAGTGAATCAATTTTAATACCAAAATATGCAATCCTTAATGACTTGACAACAGTATCGTAACTATATCCTTTCCTAATAAGTCTGTTTAAAGGTTTGGTTAGCTCTTGAGGTGAA